AGGCGGATGTTGAATCAACCCCACGTTACTTATCTTCTGGTTCCTATGTCATCATTTGGAATGCTAGGAATGTTCACAGACCGTCGTTTGTTGAGACATTCTATGAGCTATTCTCTTTTTACGCTCCTGTTCTCGTGGTGGTCACTGAAGCTCGGTATGACCAATCCACACTGGAATACCTCAAGTTCCAGCTTCGGGGTGTCTACGACGTTGATGGGTTTGGTGGTCAGAATGGATATAGTGATGTGCTACTCATTTGGGATCTGAAGGAAATGTTCCCATGGGTGACTGAGAGAGGGAATTCATACTTTGGCCATCAGCTTGGTGTCGAGATGGAGGTAATTAGTCCCCATTGGACAAAGCGTTCCAAACGTAACTACAAATTTAATTAAAAATCTTATTAATAAAAAAATGTCATGCATGAAAAAATTAACAAAACGCTCAAAAAGTATGCAGATATATTCTAAATATTATCTAAAGACAAGTAATTTAAATTATATTTGTTTAATCAAAATTAGTAGTTGTGTTACTTAATCTCTATTTAAGTTTTATTGTTAAAAATGTTAATGTGGTGGAACATATGGGCACTATGTTGTTGTGGAATTGTACTAACTAACCCATTGAGATGTAATTGTTATGGTAATGTAGCCATTAACAAAGGGAGGAAGGACAGTGAGCCCGCCATCACCATATTCGCCGTCTACTGGAGGTGACCCCGATGATGATCCATCTGTTCATGATTGGAATGATCACCTTACACCGTCGCCTAAAGTAACGTCTTCTTCGAGTAGTGGTGACTACGGCGGAAAGGGACATGATGACACCACCGTGACTGACTGGAACGACCACCTGATGCCTTGAATATTTGTGGAGGCGTATATTTTGGTTCATCTCTTAATTAATCGGCTAATATGTAGTGTTGTAATATTTTAAAGTTCTCTGTTTCAATTGTTCAGACTTTGGTTACTTAAGTTCGTATTAGTATATGTAACTTAGCACTTGCTGTGGAATTTGCCTCGGTGGTTATTTTATGGTATTGCAATGGTGCTTTATGTTTAAGATATTGTCGTATTGATTTGTTTTTTTATTTGTTACTTGCTCGATGAAAAGGGCAACATATATAGTAAAGCCAGTGGGAAATTTAATTTACAATCCCATAACATAAATGGTAAAATGGAATACAGTAATTAGTTGACACTACTAATAAATATTCAACAACAGAGAGTCTAGAATTTCTAAGAGATTGACACCAAGTTTGTCACTAAATCACTTAAATTTTAACAACATTTCTATTACCCAAACCACAACAATTAGCCTGATAAGCTTGAATGCAAACCGCTCCAAGTTGTCTATCCTTTGACAGAGTACACCCACCGCACCGTTGTTTTGGTTGCCGATGAAATCGACCTCATTTGCCCTGTGCCAAAAATTGCATGAGCGACACTTGTAGTATGGCCGGTGTGGGTTGGCTGCGGACATCAAAATTCGAAAACTCCGCGAGAGATTGTCCTCCGCAATTGCAATTTTTAGCAGCAATCCATAACACATTTGAGCTTGGGTTTGAAAAAAACCGAGTTGTGGGAGAAGTTGATGAAGTTGAGTTTGAAGACATGTGAGTGGGTTGGGTTGTAAGATGGTGTTGGGTGATGTTTTATGAGACCAAGATCGACTTGTGCCCTTTTATAGAACTCATAAGGCAGGTAAATAATTTAGTAATTCCCGCCAAAATGAATCAAAGCTGTACCATGCCGTTGGACCAACTTTTTTTTGGTACAGCAATACAAATTTACTATCTAGTATAACTATTTTAAATCTGAATGATATTAACTTTGAGGGGTAAGACAACAGTAGTTAGTACTAAATTTACTAACTCAGTGTACCTTTGTATATCTACAATGTATTTATAATTTAGTTGCATTAGGCAACTATGTCATGTAATTGAACAACATAAGGTATTCATTAAAGCTACAAGGTAAACAACACAGTACTACCCTTGTTCATTTCAGCTGCACAACTGATGCTTTCAGTTGTACTAATAAAAAACACAGTGATATTATGTATTTGAATAATCAACATGGAAGAATAAATGGCTCCTTAATGAATAGCAAGAATTGACCAATATGACTTCATAAGTGTCATGCAACATGTAATTTTTTCCCCTAAATAAAACAAATATTAATTACGAGTGGCCAAAACACCAATTGTAACTCACCACTTAACATGTATAACACAATATAATAACAATCAATACAGTCCTTAGTACATTAGAACATAAAGTAGGTGTACGTATTTTGTGCAATGTGGATAATATCAAGATGTAGGTTTAAAATTGAGATTGAAATTAATGTGGAAATGACTTGCATATGTATTCCCCCCATGGTACACTACTATAATAATAAAAACAATGTCTTTTCTTAGGATATACAATGTTATGAAACTTTATATATGTTAGTTAAACCCTAGAAATATCAAATTGAACCCTACACATTATCAGTTATACTTTTTATAATTATAGTGAGTGCATTATATGTAGGTCTCACTTATATATTTTTATGTCCCAGTGAAATTAAATGTTTTCAGCTAAACATCCATAAACAAAGTTCTTTGTTTTTTGTAGTCGAACCCTACGACCCCTTAATCCAACCCTTGTACTACACAGTGAGATATAAAATTCATGAACGTAGTGCAGGAAGGATATCATTCAATAAAACTATTTATAGAAAGAGTTCATGCATTGTGGACTCCTTCCACTTAGTACATTTTTAATATATATATATTTTTTTTTGACAAACGGGTCTTACACTATGTAATTCATAGTTCATATGGAATGAATTTCATTAATTGAACTTCACCAATGACTTAATTACTTTCATTTACTAATCACGTTATAGCATCTTATCCAATGACTTATAACTACAACGGTTTTACAGGTATTTATCTTTTTTTTGTCCCACTGACGGACCTTACACTATGTAGTTCATAAGGAATGAATTTCATTAATTGAACTTCACCAATGAAGTTAATTACTTTCAGTCACTAATCACGTTATAGCATCCTATCCCATGACTTATAACTACATTGGTTATACAGGTATTTCTCGACATGTGTGTAGGAATAATCATGTATCCAACAAAGTAAAAATAATTAACTTAGTTATCCCGATCTACACTTCAAGCTCAACTGAGGAATGTTTGAATGTACAAGGTTTTGGGCTACGACGACATGTAATAAGTACAATTCAATATTAAACAAACCCTTAGTCACTTAAACCGTAAAAATTTGTGTTACCCTTATAACCTCCTTAAATAAAGGATACTTGCTCAGTTAAACTCTTACAACCTTCAATGTTAATTGTCTAAGTCTCAGTAATTATTATTTCATGTCATTCAGCTCCCTATAATTCGATGTCAGTATTATTAACTGATTAGTAAATGACATTTCATTGCACTTACCTAATGTGTCACTGTTGTGTGATATAATCAAACTGGATGCTTAGATGTATAACTACCCCATACTATTTTGTTTCCAACACGACAACATATATAGACATCTACGATAGAAAAACATATTTAAAGAAATAAACTACAACACAAATAATACTTGAAATTAAAGGGGATTTTCTTAATCAAGAGAAGTACCAATATCAAGACCAGTGTAATGATCTTTACAAAAAATAGGACAGGTAACCTATTGAATAATAATAGGACGGTTACCCTCTTCTGAAAATATGTTCTATACAAAAAATTTCCCATGCAACTTCTTTACAAAAATTAGCCTGTCCTAAGAGTTAAAAGTCTGCAATTATGTTGTTATATCATCGGTTACGCTTCCAAAAAGGGTGAACAACAAATATTTAGTTCACCATTAAATCCGCTAAAGGTTCCTGATACAAAAAAGGGTCCTTTGTTGGAGGACTAATGCTGGCCAATATTAGTCTGTAACAAGGGACGAGGTTGACTACTACCTTCTTGGTTACAACCATGGGTGGACAGTGGGGGTTTCGGAGCAATAGGTCTGAACATAGGCCGCCCACCAGCTAGGGAACATGATATGGAACGAGGAGTATGAGGGGAATGGGGAAAGCCTGCCATGAAACCATACGGATAAATTGGCCTGTAATGTTGATAGTGATAAGGAACAAAACCAGCTTCATACATTGCCTTAAGATCACTCTCAGAGCCTGGATAATGAGCTGCACCACTGTGCCCTCCAGAAACACCAGTGAAGTACCCAATAGAACCGTCACCATCAACCATCTGTATCCCACCAAAAGATTGGGGGCTAAAGGGGAAGACATAACCCTGCCAGACAAAGTACATATACTTATGCAATACATTTGAAAATAAATAACTAAAAGCAAAAAATAGTCGATGAAATGGGATAATGATTACCCGGTTGGTGGAGGGAGTGCTACATTGCTGCTGTTGAACTTGCTTTTGGTTAGTAGTCTTTCGAGTAGTTTTACCCTTCTTTGTTTTCTCAAAACATGACGGGAATCTCACATCTGTTGTGCGGTAAGGCGGCTTTTTGGGAATAGGAGGATCTTTGGGAATCTCAGAACAACTTCCTTGCCTTTGTGTTGATGGTGTAACAAGAGTCCCCTTTTCCAAGGAACCATTCATCTGACCATTTTTGTTAATCATGTCAACCATCTCACCAACTTGAACCTCAAGTAGCTGAAGCGTATCAAGAATGAGTTTTGTTGTTTCTTTAGTGATGGAGGACTTAGAGCAAACAGAACCAAACATCACCATCATCTTGTCAAACCTACAAACCTCCTCCGTCTTGCTAGGAACGTGATAACCAACCTTCACACGGGTATACGGCCTTATCACATCTTTCCTCCAACGCTTCAAGATGAACTTCTCGGGAATATCCATTTGATCATGCAACTCGTACACAAAAATTATGTGACGACATATAATTCCGTGACATTCAAAGTACTTACATTCACACCAAGCTTCCTTACTTCCACTATCAAAAGTAACCACGTACCTCCGCTAACGCTTGGACGGTATCTCTTTCCTAGAGTTTTGGGGCTTGTACCAAACTCTATCCTCAATAACATGCTCAATAACATGATCAGAAACCTGTCTCCTCTCAATGACACTGACATACATCATACGAGTGCATTCACGTTGAACTTCTTTGAATTTAGCATCCGTGTAAATCTTCTGGAAGATAAGCTCAGCAGGGAAATCAGTGCAGGTCTTCCTCACATGTCTAGCATTGTTGTCATCGGTCTTCTTTTCTGTTTTTTCTCTTACTGAGAGCGCTTCTTCATACCTCTCGACAAATTCATGTAACAACGTGTCTGCTCAAATACCCATAAAAAAAGCTATGAATACTTTCGACCCTCTGAGTCATTTTCATCCCTGCCCAGAACAAATGTTTCACAAAAGCTAGAACCCACATAGCCCTATCTTCAAACAAGCCTAACATGGTACCCAGATAACCACTTAGAATTAAACAATGAGAAGGATCATCCAAAGTAAATTACAAAATAACGTACATTACTACTTATATCACAAGAAGAAAAACAGTACGATAAACCAAAAAATTATGACCAGCAAAAAATACAACACATCAGCCAAATTCATTACCCAGAATGAAGAATAAGTTCCCACAAAACAAAAAACAAGCTAAATACACCATCTACTAATCATCATCAACAACAAAAGGAGAACATGATATGTTAAACTTCTGAATAACCGTACCTGCCAGCCACTCATCATCATCAACTTCATACTTCTTAACAACCTATGGCCATCGTTGTTCAAATTCCTTACAGTCAAGGCCGTCATATACCGCTTGGTGCAGTCCCATTTTCAACTCAGGGTAGAAAACACGCTTGCCTATCTTCTGACCGAACTTGTTGAGAATGTGCCAAATACACCATCTATGCGTCGTACCCTTCATAACCGCCTTCAAAGCCTTCCTCATTGCCTGATCTTGGTCAGTTAGAATCCCAATTGGAGCTTTGTCACCCATACATCTAAGCCAACTTGAAAATACCCATTCAAAAGTCTTGGTTGTCTCCCAACTAACAAGAGCACAACCAAGTAGAATGGTCTCCCCATGGTGGTTGACACCAACAAAGTTACAGAAAGGAAGCTTATATTCATTAGTCAAGTAGGTAGAATCAAACACAACAACGTCACCAAATTCCTCATACGCCGCCCTACTTCTTGCATCAACTCGTAGAACATCTTTCAACTTACCTTCTTCATCAACTCGATATGTATGAAAGAATTTGTCATTGTCCTCCACCATCCGCTTAAAGTAGTCAAACATAACTTTAGCATCTCCCTGCTCAAACACAAGTTTCTTCTGCTTTGCAACTTCATCATGTAAATCCTTCTGCTCAAACGACATATCCTCCAACCCATTCCTCTGCATTGCCATATTCCTGTATATATTTGCCACAGGTACCCCAGCCTTCCGTTCAACAAACAGCTGCCGCACAAGATGAGGGTCATCCACCAAAAATTTCTTCCGGAACTTACTAATATTTTTTTATTTCCCAGGAGTGGGATTATGCCCAACATGTGTCAGATGAACTTTATCAATAACCCATTTGCCTGACTTATTCACCTTAGCATATAAGAAAACAGTGCAATCACATTTCTTCGACTTGCGTTTAGGACACATGTCTTCATCCCCATCACTGATTTGAGCATCAGAAACCAACCTTGGTTCAGGCTTTTTCCTCTTTCTTACGGGCCTACCAAAGCATTCACAAGTCCACCTACAATTATGCTTATCTCCTTTTCCAGACTTAGCCCCACTAGCCCTTACAACCCCAAAGCCCTGTTGCTGGCCATAACTACGAAAGTATTCATCGACCTCTAGCATTGAACCAAACAACATTCCTACAGCAGGAGGCGGGAGAGGAACATCCAACTCCAATTTCATCGTCTCTTCAATCTCAACACTAAGTAAGACATTGCTCTTACCTTTCTTTGGAGTCCTAAAAGACTCCTCCCCAACAACAACCTAAAGCACACAATTCACACTACAATCAACAATCTTAGCCAATTTTACCAATTTAAAACATCTATTTACCAATATTCTATTCGAACATAATAAACAACAATTCCCACACAAATCAATAACCTTGATATATACTACATTGTCCAATATGAAACTTCATTACAAATTAAAAAAACACCAACAATACAATTATATAACAATCATACCATGAATCATCTTTAAGAAAAAATTAAAAAAAAACACTCTTCAACAACAAAATCCAATGAGAATCATACTACGACAAACTGAAAAACAAAAATAAATCAAAAACTAATTCCACCAAAATTAATAGCAGCCCAGCTTAAATAAATAACATACCCACATATTTTAACACACTATTTACATAATTTAAATCAAGTAAAAGGAAAATTTACAACTTAACACCTTAATTATCCTACGAATTTAAAATACCCTAATTTCAAACAAATTCCTCAACTAACTTACCTGATTTAACAAAGCCTCCAACGCTGCAGCGCAAGAATCACCGACTTCATCTTCAACTACTCCGGTGCGATGGACGACATCATCTACGCTAACCCCATCCTCACCACCATGGTACTTTTCAAGGTCCTCAGTTGTTTCCAGATACTCCATCTACCTCTTCCAATTCATCCAAATTGACGAAGTACTTCAGCTGAAATTATGGTAGGTTCCCCAAAATTGAGGAGCCCTGCCTTGTCGCGAATTTATTAGAGATCAAGAGTAAGTTTCTGGTGGGGATTAATGGAAGATTCTGGTGGGGAATACTCGTGCTCAAGAAGTCAGACAAAAAGATGATGGGGTTTACTTGCAATATTTTTTTATTCCACTTAGTGTCCCCACACCGTTACAAATTTTACTATACAATTATATTTTCCTTCCAAATTGCATACCCGTTACAACAATTGTTGCCTTTTATTTACAACTATGCCATGTTATGTATTTGTATATACATAACTAACCTCCTTTAGTACTTCTTGCTCTTGCGGGACCCAGCTGTGAAACAAATACATATTCGCACGGTTCTATATACCATTACAACAAATTTTCCGTTTTCAATTTCCCTTCCCCATACTTTCCCTTTCCAACTAAAGTTCTCCATTAATTTTCTTCGACGAGTTCGTAGTTCTTCGACTAGCGGTGCGATATGGGTTGTTAACTTGGTGGGTTGAGGTCGGATTCCGGTAGATTTGACCCGGCATTGTCAATTGGCGGCAATAGCGGCCATTTTGCTGAGTAAAACTTGTTGGTATAATTGAAAGAATTTGATTAATTAACTTGCTTGTATAATTTAATTAGCTAAATTTGAGTAATTGTATAATTGAATTAGCTAAACTTGGCTCTATAGATACTGATTTACTGATTCATTATTATCATTATTGATTTTGACATAATTTGGTCTATGTTGTTGGGATTTTGGATATTGAATTGATTTATATTTATTATTTAGGGATTGACGAATGTGATGTAAAGTTGATGTGAATGTGAAATGTGTTGTTCATGGTTGTCTATTGTGCTTATAATATGACAATATTCAATATGATAAATGTAATATGCATGTAATATTCATTGTCATGCTTTGTTTGATCTTATTAGAACAATCCTTTTGGTGCTTGTTGTTGATTTGTGAATGAATCATTTTGGTAATTGTCCCTAATCTATAACCTTCTAAAAAGAGAAAACATGGTTTGCTTCAAAAGGGCAGTTGCACAATATATTGTTTCCCATAAATTCCATCCATATCCCTTATTTATTTATTTATTTATTTATTTATTTATTGTTTTTAAATTTTTAAATTTTTACAAAGTTTGCTAGAGTTCAACCGTTCACATGCGTTGCAGCGTTGGCAAAGTTTGTTTTGTTTACTTTTTTGGGGCTCTTGTATTTTTATTTTTTTATACTTTATCCTTTTTGCAATTTTTTTTTATATAATGCTTTTGTATTTTAGCAAGGCTAGCAAGGATTCCCTATTAACCCATCACGTGGCAATTATTTTATTTTTTTTGGGGGGGGGGGGTTGGGTTTATTTATGGTTTTGCTTTTTTCTAGCAACAGTAAGTGTGTGTGTTATTCCATCAATTGTCATGTGTCAGTGATTTTTTGTTTTTTTTTTCTTTTTATTTTTTGTTTTATTTATGGTCTTTGCTCTTTGGTGGCAATGTTGTGTCTCATTCTTCCGGCTTTTGTTCCACACGTGGCATCACCCCCTCTTTTTTTTTTAGGTGAGTGATAATTCTCAGTTATAAAATTTATATGCAGTTATAGGAGCAGTCAAATCTGAATTGATAAGTATCTGTATTGTTAAGATATGTACAGATGTTGTAGAGTATCAATCTTTTGCCATGCATTCTTTGTTGATGATAATGATTGAATTACTGTTCATGTTTTGGATTTTTTTTTACTGTCTATATAAGTAAATCTTCGATGCAAAGATCATATATCACTCCATCTTCGTCCTAAAAATATTGATATATCAAATTAATTTCTTTCCGTTCCGGTGATTATACTAATCAGAATCGGCACATAATAAGGTATTATTAACAGATTATTGTACGATTGTAGCATTCGTAATTATTATAACAATTTATTATTTATTTTTTTTAGATGTTTTAAAGTTTAAATTTACAGTGGTTATACTAATTAACTTAGCTTTAACATGAAAGATATACCTAAAACCTCGTGTGTTCTAACACATGAAAGGGTAACAATGTGGTAGTAGGGTTTTTATCTTAAAGGTCCTACATACCCTACCTTAGCCTACATATATTGACCAAATTTTGATTAGGGAGTGTATGAATATTAATTAATTAATCTTTTAAACAGTGATCCCAAAGTAATTATTAAGTCAATCATTGTTTTCCATTTAGCAATTTTAGTGGTCAACTGGAGCTGATATTTTTACCTACGGTCGCTCCACCGATTTATATCATATGAATTACGGAGATTTGATTTTTGAAGTTACTCATTACTATGCTTGTTCATGCATGTGTAGGACTTTTTTTATGTTACGAAAATTTTATTTGATTGGAGAGTTTATGATTAGAGATAGTACTGTGTTTTTAATTAAACAATAGAAATTATGTTTTGTTTTTTCCCTCTGAGAATTCATTTTTTCATTGGCAAAGTATTTTAATTCCTACAATTTATTGTTTTATTTATGTAGGAGAGGTTCTTGTGTACCAAAGGCTATTACTACAAAATATTCTGGAGATCCATTTGTTGTAGATAAGTTTTTAACTTTATTATAGTAATAATTTACATACAAAAGATATTCGTTACCTATAAACATGTTCATATATTTTAAGAGTTGTTTATTGTTTATTAGTACTAATATATAATATATATTTATAGTTTTGGGTTGTATTTTAGAGATGGAAAAACAAGTAAAATGAGTAGTAACGAAAAAGTAGGACAGACTAATTAAACAAGCTTTGTCACTAACTAAAATAATAACCCATATCATTTTGTAAACTTTCCTGGAGTATTTTAACATGTTGAAAAAAAATACATGAATCCATCTACAAATAATTATTAACTTGTGAAGACCATTACTACAATAATTAGTCCCTGTAGCAATAACGACTTGGAAATTGAGTTTAAAAAACACTGACTTAATAAGACCATAATTTGGAACAGTTAAGTAATTGATAAATCAACTTAGCTACATTTAATAGTACTTGATCTAATTGGAAGAGCACAAACATATAACAATTATTGTTTTTTTTTTTTTTTTTTTTTTTGGAATAAAAACATACAACCTATTCATTTCATGCAATTCAAAGTCTTAACTGTTGATACACTAAATTATACAGCGTAACACAAAAAGAGCTCATTTTATATCATTTTGCAAATAGTATCAATAATCTGAAACTATTTTTAGCCAAATTTTCTAAATTAAAATCGAGACAGCATTAAAAATTAATTTTTTTTTAAAAAAAACAAATAAAACATACCACCGAAACTCTTGCCGCAACAAAGTATAGATCCTAATGTCATGTCCCTCTTTCTCTCCTCTAAAAAATTTACGGTTTTTTTAAAAAAATTTTAAATTCCCGATTGAAAGAATGAATTTTTTTCACAAAAAAATGAAGAAACCCAGAAAAGTAATTGAAATCCATTTCACACTACACCAAAAAATAAATTTTGATTATATAACGTAGGATAACCAAATAAGGAACCATCAGTAGCAACAACAATAATACAAGCAATGACAACATAAAATATCACCTTTCTTTTGTAATCTTTTGCTTTCTCCTTCGCCACTACCACCGCCCCCATCGATACTGCTGCCATTACCGCTCACCTCTTGCTAAAATGAATGAATTCGAACTATAATATTTTTTATATGTATATATGTATGTATTTCTTTTTTTCTCGGTAATAAGTTATATATGTAGTTACCAACTACCTTACAAAGAAACAAACAAGAAATGAGGACATGAGAGAAGAGAAGAGGAAGGCTAAAATTAATTTTGATTATATACAGTAGTGGGAATTAACTTTTTTTGGTTTTTAAAAAAAACAAAATCTTTTCTTAGAAACAATTCTGTACCCTTTTCTCTCTCTAACGACATATACTTCGTATATCACGTTACTTGTTTTTTATTAGAGGACTTGTTAGTTGGTATTTATATTAAAATAACTTGTAAATCCAAATATTGTTTCTATCATATGGTTTTAGAAATTAATAAATAAATCATGTTACATGCAAGCACTGCAATTGGAGTAACGTAAAAGATATTTTTTCCTCTCTCATAATTAATGGATTGACTTCACGGTTTCTTTTATACGTAGTACAAAACTTAGCCCTGAATCTTGGTATTACATAAATGAGTCAAAGATCAAAGCTAAATACAAATAAACATTGACAATTTAATAACATCAATTCCCAATTTTAAAATTTTATAGTTTTCACTCTACAAACAACAAGAAAAACTAAATCTAAGTTTTATAAAAGTTGGATAATTGATTTATTGATAATACTTACTGGGTATTTACTTCACTTTAATACTTCCTTCTAATCTAGATGGAAGAAGTGTACCACATGATGGGTTTATATCCATTAAATGATGACAATGGTTAGGTGAGATACTGTAGCAAAAAAAAAAAAAAAGTAATTATTTTTGTCATTATTGGTACTTTAATTTATAAAACAGAGAAATTAATTAAAACAAACTCAAATACTTTAAAGCAATTAAAATAAATGCTAATACATCTTTAGATTATTGCAATATCATCTTTTACAATTTAAAACTACTTACACTAAATAGATTACGCAAATAAAAGTGATAGTCAATTTTTGTATACACTGATTCTTTATTTAAAATTATTATGTCCTACATTTTTTTTATCTATTTTTGCTATTATTTAGTAATACTAAATATGTCAAGTCAAATCAGAATTAACGACATGAAAAGACCTCCGACGTGCGTACGTTCTTCCGGTCCCAATGCTTTGTGAGCATTGCGGGGCAAAATTGTTCAGAGGTGAAACAATTAACCTATGTTGCAACCAAGGGGAGATTCGACTTGCCCCTATCCATATACCAGATAGTATGCGCAGCCTTTTTTTGTCACTAGACAGCAGCTCTGAAAGTTTACGCAAATACATTATTCTATACAACATGTTTACGCTCACATCTTTGGGTGTGAAAAAAGACAAGGAATTAGCACAAAGGCATCGTGGTATTTATACTTTTAGAGTTCAAGGACAAGTTTATCATTACATAAATGATATACATCGAAATGATGAGCAATCACGATATCTACAACTATATTTCTACGACACATACGTCGATTTTCAACGTCGGGTGTCGATGTTTAAGGACCTCGATCCACATGTTATTGGCCAAATAGTGCAACTAATGGAGCTAAATCCGTATGCCCAATTTTTTTCGCTCGCTCAAGGATGTTAACATGACTGACACGAGTCAAATTATAATCCGATCTGATCCAAATCAAGATCAACGCACTCATAATGCACCTACTACTTCCCAAGTTGCAGCAATTTGGTTGGAGGATGCAGGTTCATCTGCTCCACTTGAGCGCGATATTGTGGTTCGTGCACATTCAGGTGTAAACCATCACATATGGCATTACTATGGATGTTATGATCCATTACAGTATCCGCTTTTATTTCCTTACGGACAAACTGGTTGGCATCAACGGATATACAGATACAAAACAAAGTATAAAAAACGACAAGAATGTCCTACGTTTCCAATCAATGAGGTTCTGGTTCAGACTGTTGGCGAGCTGCTTGAAGATGAAGAACAAGGTGCACTATTTACCAGTTTACGTGTAAATAAGGTTACTTTTAAATAACAAAAAAAAGGTTAATTCAATTTTTTGTCTTTTTTAATGTAGGAATTCACTCTTCTGTATTTTAGAAAAAGGTTTCTTGCAGAGAGTATAACTGCTATCGATTACAGATTCGCATAAAAGATTCCTCCTTTCTTTTGCGATGTGGTCGTTTACTACAGCAGTTCATTGTTGATATGTACATCAAAATTGAAACTTCACGTTTAGATTTTATTCGTCTCAACTAGGATACAATCAGAGCTGAACTTTACCAAGGTATTCTCGACAGTTTGAATATTGGTATCTTACACGGCTCAAATATTGGACGTGGCTTTATTCTCCCTCCATCTTTTATTGGTGGTCCACGAGATATGCGGCGAAGATATCTTGACGCAATGGCTTTAGATCAGCACTACGACAAACCTGATATTTTCTTAACCATGACCTGTAACCCATCATGGCCTGAAATCACAGACGAGCTGTTGTCAACTGAAGAGGCGCAAAAAATAGGCCCGATCTAATTGCTCGAGTTTTTCATGCAAAACTAGCAAAACTAAAAAAAGACATTGTTGAAAAGAAACTGTTTGGCGAGGTTGCAGCGTATGTTTACGTGATTGAATTTCAAAAAAGAGGATTACCACATGCACACTTTCTTATTATTTAAGAGTCATTCGCTAAGATTAGTACTTGAGATCAATTCGATGAACATATTTGTGCAGAAATACCCGAACAAGAACATAATCCTTATCTTTAAGAAGCTGTGTTGAAGCATATGATGCACAACCCCTGTGGAAATGATAACCCAAGAAATGTATGCATGCGAAATGGTAAGTGTAAAAATCATTACCCCCGAAGCTTTGCGGAGACAACATCGACGAGTCACAACTCATACCCTATATATTGGTGCCATGATGATGGAAAAAACATTTGGTACGAAAAGTACAGCTTGACAATAGGTGGGTAATACCGTATAATCCATATTTACTTGTAAAATATGATTGCCATATAAACGTAGAAGTGTGTTCTACAGTAAAGGCTGTTAAATATTTATATAAATACATATACAAAGGTCATGATCGGGTTGTTTTTGCACTATCTAACCCCGACAACACTAGCATGGTAGGTGACGAGATCTCATCATTTCAGAAAGCAAGGTGGATATCACCACCAGAAGCTTCTTGGAGGATTTTCAGATTCCCTTTGAATGCCATACACCCACCCGTCTGCCGAATATGCAAACAGTGACATTCCGTGCACAAGAGAACTTACATAATATTACATCCGCTTCAGCCAGCCAACGAACTATGCTAACTGCATTCTTTGAGATCAACCAAGTTGATGCTTTTGCGCGTACATTACTGTACCAGGAATTTCCTCAACATTACACATGGCATCCAAAAAAAAGGGAAAAATTCTAGCAACGACGTCGATCGAAAGCTGCTGCGATTGACCGTATTGTACATGCGCATCCCTCAGAAGGTGAACGCTTTTATTTGCGGCTATTGCTTGCACGCATTCGTGGTCCAACCTCTTTTGATTATTTGCTGACCTTCAACAACATAAGATATTCTTCATTTCGAGAAGCAGCATTCCACGAGGTTTACTTGAAGCAGATGACACTATAGACAAGTTCCTACAAGAAGCTTGTCAAAGTCAGATGCCGTTTGCCTTGCGACGGCTATTTGCTACATTGTTAGTACACCGCAACCCTGAAGACCCTAACAGTTTGTGGGAAAAATATTACCAATATCTCGCTGAAGATTATAATAATAATTTCCCTACCGACAAAAAAAAGGCTCGCAAACTAACTGTGAAAAGCATTTGTTACCTTGTTGAATCGATGGGAAAGTCTTTTGATACTTACAATTTTGGCTTACTAGAACTCAAAGAAGACGACTTGGAAATAGGAATGAAAGAATTGAGGAAGAAATTCAGATGCCTATACGTCTAGAAGAAATAAATGTAGTTGAGTTGCTTAATGATGAACAAAAACTTACGTACAACACTATCTACAATAAAGTGTTAACTAATAAACCAGCTGCTTTCTTCGTAGATGGGCCTGGTGGCACTGGAAAGACTTTCTTATATTCTACATTACTTGCTAATGTAAGAGCAAAGGGTATGATTGCTTTAGTAGTTGCGAGTTCTGGAATTGCTGCATTGGGCTTGTCTGGAGGTAGAACTGCAAATTCTCGGTTCAAAATCCCTCTTGATGTTGACGAGATTCCAAGCTTCAGTATTTCTAAACAAAGTTCTCTAGGACAACTCATTCGTCTTGCAAGACTTATTGTATGGGATGAAGTGCCAATGGCAAAGCGTCAAACGATTGAATACTTTGACAGATTGCTACAAGATGTTTGTTCGAATCAACAAAAATTTGGGGGAAATGTTGTTGTATTTGGTGGTGATGATTTCCGACAAGTATTACCTGTCGCACCGAAAGGAAGTCTGCGTGAAGTTGTTGCAACGAGTTTTGTGATGTCTCCTTTATGGCATGGGCTCCAGAAAATCCACTTAACACAAAACATGGGAGCAATCAACGACCTACCTTTTTGTAAATTTGTGTTGCAAATCGAAAATGGCACGCCTCCTTATGAAGTTGGGAAAAATATAGAGCTACCCAAGCCGTTAGTTATTCCATACTACAATGAACACTCATCTCTACATCTCTTGGTAAATAGTATCTACCCTGATATAGCGAATACGACTTCTGAATCATTCTTTGCAACAAAGAGAGCTATTTTAATCCCCAAAAATGAACATGCTGCAACAATAAACTCTCTATTAGTTCAACAACAGCCAGGAAAAGCTTACGAGTACAGAAGTTTTGACGGATGCACAGACGACTCGAGCGAACAATACCCAACTGAATTTCTCAATAGCCTTTTTCCGTCTGGTCTTTCGCCTTATCATTTAACTTTGAAGGTAGGCAGTCCAATAATTTTACTTCGAAATATAGACCCGACACCAGGCTTATGCAACGGAACAAGATTAGTATGCAAAGAATTTTTCCCTAATGTTATTGATGCTGAAATTATTGTTGGACATCGTTGTGGCGAACGAGTTTTTATACCTCGAATCCCGTTGCAGCCTTCAGCTATGGATAAGTACCCATTCAGATTTACCCGCAAGCAATTTCCAATCAATCTGAGCTTTGCAATGACCATCAACAAGTCTCAAGGTCAAACACTTGATAGAGTTGGCATATATTTACCACAACCAGTTTTCTCTCATGGTCAGCTGTACGTTGCACTGTCTCGTGCTAAGAAAAGTAAACATGTTCAGATATTGATAAAGCCCACTACAGATGAATTAGATGGATGGAAAAGAACTAAAAATGTTGTATGTTATGAGATCTTAAGGCGCGCTGGAATATTGTAAACCATTTTTTTTTAAATATACGGTATTAGCAGAAGGTTAACACACTTATTTTTTCTTTTACTTTACATTATACGATGTTGTTGCTATTTTATTGCTCATAACGTGTACTGACAATGCATTGATGACAGGTTCAAATTATAGTGCAGAACAACATAATGGCTACTCAACAACTTACCCTCGCCAGACTGACATACCAGAGTAGAAACTTTACTGTGACCGCTAAACTAATAAAGAAGCACCCACCTAAAAAATCCCGCAGCGGAACAACAAATTTACAGCAGCTGATTTTTGAAGACTCAGAGGTATATTATATACAACTTATAGAATATTAATTATCTTAACATATTTAACGACTATTTAATATTGAAATTGACAGAATACACAAATGAAGGTTGTGATCTTTGAACGAGATATTGAATTATATCGTAATCTTCTTCTTGAGGGAAAAGAATACAACATTACCAACTCTATCATAACTCGTACACCTGAAACGTTTACTGGATAACAGTAGTTGTATCAGATGACAATCAATTCTGTAACACGAGTCTGTGAAACACAACAACAGTTTGAACCATGCTCATACTTTGTCCCACTTAACCAGGTTTTGGGTCTTGTTGGCAGATCCGATCGAATAGGTAAATATTACTTACTATATATTAAAATGTTGTAATTACTGTGTGTGCATAGTGACTACATCTAAATTAATTGACATATGATTAATTTTTTGTTTTACTTTTTTCCTAGATATCATTGGAATTGCTATTCACATACATGATACAGAAACCATTCGCTCTAAGAAATCTGGGCTGCCTAATGACGTGCGTAGGATTGAGATAATGGATTCCAAGTATGTGTATACACTATATTAATATAAATTGGTTTTCCAATACGTATGTTCTTTAACTTAATTAAATCTATGCTTATTGAACATTTAATTTCTTCTCTTTTTGCCAGCATGAACCGTATTAAATTATCAATGTGGAATAGTTTGATTACACATGAAGCTGTTGTTGTTGCTGACATTATAGACACAATGTCTGTAATAGAAGTTTCTCGCGTCAAAGCATCAACTTTCGATGGTATACAACATTAACAAATATTTATAAAATAATGAGTACGACTTCATTAATTATCTTTTGCACATATGTTTACAGAGGGTTCATTCAACACAACCTTCGCTTCTACAATGAAAATTAACCCAAGTAATCCGGAAGCACAACTTCCGCGAGATTGGTAAACATAATTTCTCAAACTGGTTCTATTTAAGTACTAATTTTTACCTACCTAACAATGTTCCTTTATAGGGCGGAAAATAATAAGGATGAAATTCGAATCCTTAAAAATTCATTCGCAGCCGCAGCAACAGAAAGCTCGCAGCAACCTGAATTAATGATTCCAGTTTCACAATTATCTGAACAAGAGGTAAATTACATAATATGTTTCACTACACAAATTAGAGTGAAAAATATAATGTTTTGTATAACTATATCATGCATTTTTTTTGTACAAGTCTGGAAAAACACTGCGGATCGTTGGATGCGTTATTGACATCACAAACAAAAACAATATAGTATACAATGCCTGCAATGTCTGTAGCAAACGATGTGACGTTGAAAAGGGATCGGTATTTAACTGTCGTGCATTTAGCTCCCCGCATGTAGGAACGTCCGAACCATGGTAATTGATAAATTACTAATAATAACATAGCATACAATCACTGCTTTTCTTTATTCTGTTAACTATATAATCATGTGTAATTATACGCGTTATATAACTGTACTGCATATCACTTTTGCTGATGATAGTGGCGACATACCGATTACACTTTTTGGTCATCTTGCTGAACAACTGATAAATGATGATGCTAATCACATAGCTACGCTGACACTACAAGTACGTATGATTTGACTTATTACTATTACCTAACAATTACAATTTATATTAAGTTCAAAGCTACAAACAAACTTACGAGAAACATTAATCATTTTTTACACAATTACAGGAATGGAGATCTCTTGTAGACAGCTGCATTGCAGCGTTGAAAGACAGGGAGCTTAGCATGGAGATAACCACGTACATGTTGGGAAAAGGATTTCAACATCTCCGCTGAAAAGCTAAACGCATAATTGAAGCTTAGATGTATAACAATTTTCAGTCGTGTTTATGAACGTATGTTTGTGTATAATTTCACGCTTTTAGTACAAACTTTGTTTCCTTAGACAATTTCAACTTTAAAATGTATAATAAATAATGTTTGTTTGAATACATATGTATTTTTACATGTAGATTCACATTAAATAACCTTTTGTTTTACGTATTTATCATATTTTAATGCTTTACTCTACAACATAATCAATCGTGTACAATTTATTGGGATACAAAATACATAGAATTAATATAATATATTCTAAGCACATAGGATTTAATAATAAATTAGAAATGAATGCACACCCACACACACACACACGTGTAAATTGTACAATTTACACTATAGACAATTGTGCAGTATACATAAAACATAATACGTGTCTGACATGTGTACTGTAAAACATTTTTTGTTTTGACACGCGTGTTTGAAACTCAATACGTAATAAAAGTTCAGTACAAGGTTTCTAAAGTATGCCTATAAATAGATATAGAAACTGAGATTTTCTCTCAAACCAATAGCTACTGCAAATTCACTTCATACGTAAAAAATTCATTAGCTCACATTAAAATACTAAGTTCTTAACCAGCATATAATGGATGAACCACGGAGAGTCGTGGAAACAAATATCAAAATAATTCTACACGATATACTACTTCAGCTGGGATTACCTCAAGCAGAATTCGGTATATATGTTGTCACCAACGATGAAGTAAAAGCTTATATAGATATAAACAGTATTCCTAATGTCCCATGTCCTGTACGATTTATTGGGACACCTGCTATTCGAAATAGTCCATCACAACAAAACGCTGTTAGACAAGCACTCAAATTTCTTCAGCAAACTTACAACATAGATGTTGGCGACTATAACTACTATCAATTGAAATTAGAAGAACACAATCACAAACAACATTTACAACAAATGTCAGCAAATTTTACTAAACTTAAGCTTTAAATTATATTTATACATGTACTTATCTTTATAAATAATATATTCAGTTTGTACGTCTATTCTTTTTCTCCCAACTTTTTCATATTTTGTAACTATTTGTATAATACTTAAAACTGCCAAACATCAATTGATTAAAAAAATAAAAAAAAATAAAAAAACCTAATTAACAATACTTAAATATATACTAACCAAGTTGTTGCCCGCGTGCGTAGCACGCGGTGCCACAACTAGTAAGGAAAGATAGAAAGAATGAACATGTTGCTGGTTGTTGTTAATTTGTGTTTGAACATAAGCATATTAGCTTTTACACAGGGATCTGAGCATGAGCATAAAACAATTATACCTCCATTTGTAGAATGCTTCCTTTAACTGATTTACCTGATCATGAGGCACTTACTGCTGTTTAAAGCATGACAAATGAGAAGGATGAGAAGGATTTTATGTGCATAATTTTTATAGTGTATGTGCATATTTTAAACAAAATGTGCAAAATTAATAAGTGCATATATGAATATGCATAATCTTTATATAGTATATGCATAATCTTCAAACAATATGTGCATATAAAATGTCAACCACTGCCTATTTCACACACAGATCGTCTACACATATATAGATTTTATTCACCGCAACCAGGATACAATTAGAGCTGAACTTTACCAAGGTATTCTCGATAGTTTTAACACCGGTATCTTACACGACTCAAATATTAGACGTGGCTTTATTCTCCCTCCATCGTTTATTTGTGGTCCACGAGATATGCGGCGAAGATATCTTGACGCAATGGCTTTAGTTCATCATTACGACAAACCTGATATTTTCTTAACCATGACCTGTAACCCATCATGGCTTGAAATCACAGACAAACTGATGTCAACTGAAGAGGCGCAAAATAGGCCCGATCTAATTGCTCGAGTTTTTCATGCAAAACTAGCAAAACTAAAAAAAGACATTGTTGAAAAGAAACTGTTTGGCGAGGTTGCAGCGTATGTTTACGTGATTGAATTTCAAAAAAGAGGATTACCACATGCACACTTTCTTATTATTTAAGAGTCATTCGCTAAGATTAGTACTTGAGATCAATTTCGATGAACATATTTGTGCAGAAATACTCGAACAAGAACATAATCCTTATCTTTAAGAAGCTGTGTTGAAGCATATGATGCACAGCCCCTGTGGAAATGATAACCCAAGAAATGTATGCATGCGAAATGGTACGTGTAAAAATCATTACCCCCGAAGCTTTGCGGAGACAACATCAACGTGTCACAACTCATATCCTATATATCAATGCCGTGATGATGGAAAAAACATTTAGTACGAAATGTACAACTTGATAATAGGAGGGTAATACCGTTTAATCCATATTTACTTGCAAAATATGATTGCCATATAAACGTAGAAGTGTGTTCTATAGTAAAAGCTGTTAAATATTTGTATAAATACATATACAAAGGTCAGATCGGTTTGTTTATTGATAGGTTGTCGTACACTTGTCAAAAATAAAGACCTAACAAACCAACTAACAATGTAGTAGGGTAAGTAGGGTCGAATGCACAGAGAGATGGCTATTTAATCTAGCTTTCAAGGTATGGAGAAACTAAACTACGTCACGAAATTGAGATAAAAATATAGTCTAAATTAAAAGAGGGATAAAATAATTAATAAAAAGACCTAGGGTTATGGTTCACCATGTTTATAGTTCTAAATCTATCAAATATCAATAACAATTCAATCAATCAATTATCTAGAGCAATTGCTAAGCCTACGGTCGGGTCTTAACGCTCTCAATTCAACATATGTAGTTCGGTCGCTAATATTATCAGAATTGCTAATTGTAGGTAAGCCTCTAAAAGTAAGATCTTTCGATTCAAACTTTTATTAACAAGAATTAATCAAACAATTCATCAGGTTGCAAGATTAACAATAAAACACTATCAATTAGAGAAACCAATAATCAAAATATCAATAATATCAATCAAGAGTTATTATATAAACATGGATTCCCAAACCCTAGAAATAAACTACTCAAAAATGAAATAAATAATAAAAACTAGAAATAATAAAGAAAGCATAATTAAAATAAAGAAATAAAATTACCTCTTTAAATTAAAGTAACAAATTCAAGGACAAATCCATGGAGGAATCCATGGAGTTGTCATTGAAAAACTAAGGCTAGAGAGAAAAATAAAACAAACATAAAATAATCAGTATAAAAAGGCATAAGGAAAAAATAATATCCCTTAGAGTATTTATATTATCCTAAAACTAATCTAAAGATAAATAAAGAAAAGAAATAAGAAAAAAAAATACATAATCTGCATTACTATTGGACCATAGACGATGACGTGGCACGAAGATGATCGATGCAAGAGGGACGAGTGAAGACGTGACAGCGACAAAGCCTCGTGGCTGTTGTTCACTCGCCAAAAGCTGCGAGCACAGGTCAGCCCCGCGGCCTGGCAGTAGCGCTGGGAAGTTCGCGTGGGCGCGGGGTTTGGTCGCAGGGTACATAACACAAATTAAAATGGCCATAACTTCTGTTCAAAAGGTTTCTTGGAGCGTGTAACCTGTCATTGGAAAGCTATTCAAGTCTAGTTTTTAACGCAATTTGAATCACTTCAATCCGATATGTAAAACTCAAGTTATGATCAAAATAGTGGACAAAAGTCAGTTTTGCCACTTTGTAAAATATCGTTTTTCTTTGTTTCTAACTCAAATTCAATTCCGAAAAGTGCACAACGACCCTTGTGGATGCTATATTCATTACTCATTAATACAAATCTCAAACTAATCTTCCACAAACATATATCCTTCATTGAGAAACCTTGATTCATTGACTTTTTATCCTTTCATTGTCCGATTCTTCCAAACTACTCCGAAAGCGTCCAATTAGATGTAGAAACCACCTGAAACATTAAGAAAACACAAACAAAGCGTAATAGAGCACAACATGGACAACTTATGCATTTGCAACCTAAAAAGCAACAAAAAGACCTAAAAAGAAATAATAAACTTAGCATAAACGTGCCTATAAATCCTATATAAATGTGATTCATCAAATTCCCCAAGCGAAACCGTTGCTTGTCCCCAAGCAACACTAAACCCAAGATGGAGAAAAGAGAAAAATAATACTTATAGGGAACCAGAATAAGACCAATCTGACTCTCAAGCAAACAATCAAACCAAAGTTATTAAGACCAAAATCTAGCTCAGATACAAATAAAACCACTCAACATCATGATCCGCAATTGTAACCAAACTTGGCCACAAACGATTTCCCAATCAAGCTGGTCGTCGTCGCACACCTTGTAGAGTATAAATATTTGATGCAATAGAGGGTAACTTGACGATAGCAAGTGATAACGTTCACTCAATCACAAAACACAGATGCCGATCAAAAGGACTTTATAAGCTTATAATGGGGATAAGGTAAAGGGGTAGGATAACATTTAGGAAAACGTGAGAGAGAAGCCAACTTGGGGAGCAAAAATATTTATAAACGTGACCAAATAATGATCTCTTCTCCAATTGACATCACCAACTTTCTCCAAACATAATAAATAACAAAGATTGAAATCAACTATACATCGTCATGAATAATCTTTTTCTTTCTTTTTTCCTTTTTCTTTGCCTTTTTTTTAATTCTTCGGCTTTTTCAATAAGTACATACAAACAAGCTTTTTATTCTTTTTTTTCTTTCTTTTTCAAGTAACACTTATCAACTATAAATACACCTTTTTTCAAACTTTATTCCACCATGTTTTACATAAATTGAAGCTTGACAGACAAACAACGACACCACATCAATAAGCTCCCCAAGCTAGCTAGACTTGGGAATAATAAACAATGGGGCTAAAGAGGCTTGTAATGTAGCTAAAATCAATGAATGGGGCAAGGCAACAACATGGGTGAGCAAAGGGAACAATTTTATCTAAATATCATCTGAAGATTACCTAAAGAATATGGCCTTTATCATATGCGGCATGTGTGAATCATAATCAAATTA